AAAAAGACACTGTGGCTATGGACTAGCCTGTGACCTACACTACTAAGCTCAAGTTCTCTGGCTCATTCTAGATAGTTAAAAAGGTTACACTTGGCAGAGTGAAAATTTCAGGACTATTCTCATTACTTGTAGGGGGATTCTAAGAGAAACACCATGGTTTTGTTCCACCTGGTGTGATTGTAATATATTTTTGAATAAGAAAATATGAGTAAGAGTATCAGACAGAAGATAATAGTTTTTTTTTGTGAGGAAGATAAGTAATTTTGAGAATGGCAAGCTGGATGATAACAGGAATGATAGAAGTTAAGAAAAGTGAAGACTTTGAAAGAAAAATATATTCACAGATAGCTTTAATATTAAATATATTTCATTACATAGGGACTTTAACCTACAAATGACTTGGCCAGTGGCACTTCCTCTTACTAATTGGCCATGTACATTTTAATGGTCTGTTTCTAATTTTCTAGCTGCCTAAGAGAATCATATTTTGTTATATGGGCATAGCTGTCTTGAGTCTTTCAACTAAAAGTGACAGATATTCCCTAATCAATGTGTTCTTTGCCCATTAGGTGACTGATATGCAATTCTTCTTCCTTGTAGCAGGATGGGATGGAGAAAGACTATGTTCCAGGTATTGATATGTTTGTTTTCTCATACAAAAATTATCAGAGTAATCAGTATTGGTTCAAGCCTTTTGGATAAGTGATAAAATTAATAATTAAAAAACACACTATCACTTGCTTTCCTTTGCTGCTAGTCTACTTTAATTGCATTGCTAATAGGGTTTCTCATACAACTTCTTCTTCTTTTTTTGTTTTTAAACAGAGTTGGGGATCTTACTCTGTCACCCAGGCTGGAGTATAGTGTACAGTGGTGTGATCCTAGTTTACTGCAGCCTTGAACTCCTGGGCTCAAGTGATCCTCTCGCCTAATCTCCAGAGTAGCTGGGAATATAGGCACATGACATCTTATCTGGCTATTTTTATTTTTAAAATTTTTTAAGGGAAGGGGTCTCACTATCTTGCCCAGGCTGGTTTCAAGCTCTGGGGCATAAGTGATCCTCCTGCCTCAGCCTGCTGAGTAGCTGGGATTATAGGTGTGAGCCACATCACCAGGCTGATGTATCTATTAAAATCTTCCCAGCTATACAATTATCATAGTCCCTTGTTTCCAAATGCCAACTTGGAGTAATAATTTGTTTTATTTAATATGATGAGGCTCATTATAAATGTCTATCAAATCAGATGGTCTAGCCAGGAAAAAGTCTAGCAATTACATTGGTATTTACGGTCACTCTGATAATGCAATTATTTCCTTGATATGTTTAAATATGTACAAAAAAGATGTTCCATGTATCAAACAACTGACATGTAAACTTTTAGAAAAGAATATGTATGTTAGATGTTGCACATACATATTGTAATTCTATAGACATCAATTAAAAAAATAAGGTGATTTTAATGACTTCTTATTTAAATATTTGTTTTGATCTGAGCACCCAATGCCCTGAACATTCTGGATAACAGAAGATCATAGTTATTGTATTAGAATAATTTCCAGTAATATCCCAGGGATCACCTTTTAAATACAGGTTATCAACTAAGCTAGAATATTGGACAAAGAAAGGAAGTGATGAAATGTATTACAGCAGTGATGATTTTTAACATTTAAATTAACTGCTTAAGTATTTAGCTATTTGGATAACTAATTTCTATATATAGAGTACAGTAATTGGTAAGAGGCTATTTATTGTTAACAGGATAAACTTAATTGTGCAATACCATATTATAATTTGACCCCAGAATTCAGAAGTGAAAACAAAAAAGGACAAAATAGATTTTGAATATAAAAAAAGCCAAAAGATATTATGACTGAGAAGAATAAAAATATTAACATTTAATTTTAAAATTTGGAGAAGTTTTAGGCTATTGTCACTTGACATTTAAGATACTTGTTAAATCACACAGCTTATCCTCTTATTTTTCTGTTTTAAAATTTGTTGATTTTAACTAAATGGATGGTTACCCACACAGAAAAAAAGAACAAAGCAGCTGGTCTTTGCCTGATGGTAAAATCATCTCCTGGACTATACAGCTAAGGCACACCATTTTACTTGGATTTTGGGAAAATCTAGTTTTCAATGTGAGTGGATTTCGTGATAAAATTACAAATGCAAGACCTATGTTACTTTAGTGTCACTATATAAATGCTCCTGGTTTTTAAACAGTCCTAATTAGTGCTCAGCGTAAGGACAAGAAATAAGCTGTCTTCACTGAAAGCCATAAACCATGAGAGAAGTGGTTAATACCTTTTAAAAGTATGTGGTGGTACAGGTGCTCTAGAATGTGGCTCCAGAAAGAAAGATCTTAAATTATCCTAAGTGAATAGTATATGGGGAATTTGTGAGGCTGCATGCTCAAATGCTGGGTTCTTAGATTTTGGAAGTTAGGATCATCACTGTTTATGGAAAACTTCTTAAAACAATGGTTGTCCTCTTTTCCTGAAAGTTGAGTTATGATTGCAAATAAAGGATTCACTGCCTGACTGTTACTCCTCTGGCATATTTTGAATTACATCTGAACTCAGTTTATAGATAGCTGACAGGATGAAGTGATGAAACATGCAGTAGACAGAAAGGAGATTCATTAATAAAGCTGCTTAGGTGATTCCAGTCAAGCTAATTATTCATTTTCATGCTCTATTCCTGGGGAATACAGTATAGTGGCTGGCACACAGTAGGCACTTAGTAGATGTCTGCTTTACTAAACTGAAGGTTTAGGAGTAAATAACAAATTTGTGCAGTTGTATAATTTAAGCTTTCCTTGAGGTCTTATAATATACCATGTCAATGATTACTGTGGAAAACATCCATTTGGGCTTTGAATAATAACATGATATAAGCTTATATAATGGGGCTTGAACAAATGTGCAGGGAACACAGGAGACTTGTAAATATGGTATTATGAAAAACACATGGGATTTGAATGCCAAAGGTATGTACTTAACACTGCTTTGATCTCTAGTAATCCCTTGACCCCCCGAGCCTTAGTTTGTTTATTCATTCATCTAAACATTTAGTGAATATACACTGTATGCCTTTTACACAGATGAAAGAGAGACAAAACCTTGACCTGGAGATGCTGAAGGATACAAAAATGAAAATATAATGGAATGTTTCCTCATCTGTAGAATTAGAGTAACAATACCAAACAACATCATCTACTGCACAGATTCGGTGAGGCAATTACCTCATACTAGTACTTAACTTCCAATGAATTATAAAAGTGCTTTGTAACTACAAAGCAGTACAGTGGTGCTATCTCAGCTAACTGCAACCTCTGCCTCCTTCAAGTGATGCTCCCACCTCAGCCTCCCAAGTAGCTGGGATTACAATTGTGTGCCACCACACCTGGCTAATTTTTATATTTTTAGTAGAGACAGAGTTTTGCCATGTTGGTCAAGCTGGTTTCAAACTCCCAATCTCAGTGATCCACCTGCCTTGGCCTCCTAAAGTGCTGGGATTACAGGCGTAAGCCATCACATTGGCCCCATAAGCAGTTTTTAATGGAAGTTCTAATTTCTTTTTTGGAATAAATGAAGATGCTTGGAACCCTGGTTCAAGTTCTGTCAACCTACTTCCCAGTTATAAATTTAGAATGTGAGTAGTTTTTATGTCTCTTCTTTTGTGTTAAATTGGTATATAATTCACATATCACAAAACCCACCGTTTAAAGTGTACAATTCAGTGGTTTTTAGTACATTGACAAGGTTGTGCAACTGACACCAATTCCAGAATATATTCATCACCACAAAAACAAACCCCACATCCAAGAGCAGTTATTTCCCATTTCTTCCTTCCTCCAGCCCCTGGTAACCGCTACTGTCCTTTCTACCTCTATGAAGTTGCCTATTCTGGACCTTTCATGTCAATGGAGTTGGACAATATGTGGCCTTTTGTGTCTAGGTATATTCACTTAGAATAGTTTTGCATGGTTCATCACATTGTTGCACGTTTCATGGTTTTGTGACTGAATAATATTCCATTGTATCATCAGTTGGTAGACATTTGGTCTGTTTCCACTTTTTGGGCTATTATGAATAATGCTGCTATGAACATTCATATACAAGTTTTTAATGTCAACATGTTTTCTGTTCTCTTGGGAATATACCTAGGAGTGGAATTTATGAGTCATATCCTAACTTTGTGTTTGATTTTTTGAAGAACTGAGTAGTTTTTGTTAACTGCTTTTCTATCCTTAATTCACAAAAGCCTCTAATGAAGGAATAGCAAAAAGCCATTGCAAATGCATATGAAAAATAATACAAAGGGAAACAATAAAAGAAATCCACACAGCTCCCATAAAAACAAACTGCATTAGGTGTTATTGCTTGTGAAGTTCAATTTAATGGTAAGTGTTCTTTTTGAGTTGCATTAGGGTGGTAAACTTTCCTGAAGTTATGTGCAATTATGTTTCAGCTGTCATCCTCTGGATTAATAATAAAAAAAAAAACCACCCTTGGGTTCTAAAGTGAACAATGTTGTATAAACGAGCTAAATGGGAAAGCTTGACTTATTACTTAGTGCACTTAATTTTCCATGTTGGAGATCTTACCTCTCTGAGAGGGAAACCAGTGGTCATTTCAGTAGGAAAAAAAAAGAGACAAGGGAGCAAAATTGCTTAGTTATGGGACATGGATCAAAGATGCTTAACTACTTTAAAACCAAAGGTGAGAAGAGATGTTTTTAGTCCTAAATTGCAAGATAGGTTATTTTTGCTGAAACGTGATTTTAAAAGAAAAGTTCATTAGATTAGGTAGGTATTATTAAATACATGTTGCTCAACTTGGAGAGATCTGGAGGAAATTACTAGCTATCAATAGGCATAAAACACAAAAATACTTTCTAATTATTTTCTTTAGCAGTCCATTCTTTCATGTGTACCTTCTTCCTAGGGGACATGATTAAAGTTGTGAGTGTCACTATGCATATACTTTTAAACACCTCCTGCTTCTCTACATTTCTATCCCTTTCCTATCCACTCATGCCTGAACTGCCCAAACATATGTTTTCGTCAGTGTCAACACTTCCATCTTTGTAAATTCATTCATATTTGGCTCATGAAGCAATGCAGAATACTACTTTCTTTCTTGCGATTATTGTTGTATAACGAATGAACCTAAAATTTACTGGCTTACAACTAGAATCATTTTATTTCTCATGATTCAGTGGGTTGACTGGGCAGTTTCTGCTGTTTTGACTAGGTTATTCATGTGACTGCACTCAGCTGGTTGGTTACCTGGGGCTGGGTTTGGTGGGATGACTGCACTGGCCTGCCTCTTTATGGTCTTTCATCCTGATGGAGACTAGCCTGGCTTTTTTTCACATGCCATCTCAGGGCCACACTCCTAGAAGGCAAGTCCTACAGTGTAAGGGCTATCAGGATTCTACCTGGGTCATGTTTGCTGATGTCTTCTTGGCCAAAGTTATTGTGGGTTGAGGCTAAATGAATACTGAGGAGGCATGAATTATTGGGGGCCATTAGTGTAGCATTTCATGCCTGAATGTTCATTAAGGTAAAACTGTATTTTCTTTTTTTCTCTTCACTTTTCAGTTTGGGGCATTTCAATAGACATATCTTCAAGGTCACTAATTCTTTCCTTTCCTATGTCTAAGCCCATCAAAAGGCATTCTTCATTCTTATTACAGCAAGCTACTTGTCCAACTGACTGCCTGCAGGCCGCAGGTGGCCCAACACAAATTCATAAACTTTATTAAAATATCATGAGTTTTTTTGTTATTTTTAAAAATTTTTTTAGCTCATTAGCTATCATTAATTTTAGTGTATTTTATGTGCGTCTCAAGACAATTCTTCTTCTTCCAATTTGGTTCAGGGAAGCCAAAAGATTGTTTTTGATTTCTAGTATTTTTTCCATTAGAGCTCTTAGCATATTAATCACTTATTTAATTAAACAATTAATTAATTTAGAGATGGAATCTCACTCTGTCACCCAGGCTGGAGTGCAGTGGCACTATCTTAGCTCACTGCAACCTCCAACTCCTGGGTTCAAGCAATTCTCCTGCGTCAGCCTCCCAAGTAGCTGGGATTATAGGCATATACCGCTATATCCAGCTAATTTTTTTGTTTTTACTAGAAACAGGGTTTCATCATGTTGGCCAGGCTGGTCTGAAACTTCTGACCTCAGGTGATCTGTCCACCCTGGCCTCCCAAAGTGCTGGGATTACAGGCATAAGCCACCACACCTTACCTTTATTTATTTATTTAAGACAGGGTCTTGGTCTGTCCCTAGGCTGGAGTGCACTGGTGCAATCTTGACTCACTACAGCCTTGACATCCTGGGCTTAAGGCCCGCCTCAGACTCCTGTGCAGCTGAGACTACAGGCAAGCGCCATCATGCCTGGCTAATTTTTGTATTTCTGTAGAGATGGGGTTGTGTCATGTTGCCCAGCCCAGTCTTGAACCCCTGGGCTCAAGCAATCCACCTGCCTTGGCCTCCCAAAGTGCTGGATTACAGGTGTGACCCACCACACTTAGCCCACAGTTATTTTAAATTCCCTGTGTCTCTAATTTGACAGTCTTTGCCATAACTGGGTCTGGTTCTTCTACTTGCTTTATCCATTGAGAGTGTGTGGGTTTTGTTTGTTTTGTCTTTTAGTGTGCCCTATAATTTGTTGTTGAAAGCTGTACATAATGTAATGTATAAAAGGAACAGGGTAAGTAGGCATTTAGTGTGAGGTTTTTTGTTTATCTAGCTATGAGTTAGGCTGCATCTACTGGTAGTTGCAGCTGTAGATGTCAGATGTGAAAACATCATCTAGGCCGGGCGTGGTGGCTCAAGCCTGTAATCCCAGCACTTTGGGAGGCCGAGGCGGGTGGATCACGAGGTCAAGAGATCGAGACCATCCTGGTCAACATGGTGAAACCCTGTCTCTACTAAAAATACAAAAAATTAGCTGGGCATGGTGGCACATGCCTGTAATCCCAGCTACTAAGGAGGCTGAGGCAGGAAAATTGCCTGAACCCAGGAGGCGGAGGTTGCGGTGAGTCGAGATTGTGTCATTGCACTCCAGCCTGGGTAACAAGAGCGAAACTCTGTCTCAATTAAAAAAAAACAACAACAAAAAAAACAAACAAAAAAAACCATCATCTAATGCTTATTTGTGTTTCCTCTGTAGTATTTGGGTTTCCCTAGAGACTCCTTTCTATTATTTATTGTTATTGACTTCTTCATCTTCTCCTTGTGGAACACTAGAGACTCATTTTGAAATACGGCCTGAGCTTTGCTCAACTATAATCCCTATTATTATATAGCAGACTGATTAATGTGGTGGCAAGGTGGCGGGGGAGAGTAAGTGTTCTGTGGTCCTTTAACTGTTACGTCTTTTCTCCCCAACCCCCTCCCAGCCCCCTTAGGTGAGATAGGCTAGAGGGGGCTGGAGTTGTATTTCACTTCTCTCATGACAGACTCTGGCAAATCCCAGCTTGGTTAGATGTTGGTAAAATAGTTTCCCTTGAAGACAGGCCTTTGTTAAGGAGAGCAATAGCTCTGGAAGTCTGTTTTTTTACTTAAAAATTTTTTTTTTTTTAAATTTAGAGACCAGGGGAGAGCGCGAACGCATTCCCCCACTACCACAAATTATGCAGTCGAGTTTCCCACATTTGGGGAAATCGCAGGGGTCACTGGGAAAACCACCTTCGTGATCATGGTATCTCCTCTGCCAGCTAAGTATATGTTTGTTTTTTAAAAAAGTTTACTCTCTTCCCTCTACACACACACAAACACAAGGACATTTTCCCCTCAGCTCTTGACCCTGAGAACTTGATAGGGTTCTTAGAGGTAAAACTCAGAAAAAGTGTGTGATACTCTTAAGGATGGGCCTCCAGGAGTTTTTAATGTTTTAAACTAGTCTCAATCTCAGTCTCTAGCAATTAGTCAATCACCCTTGAAATGTTCCTACCAGTTACTGGCTCTAGCTGTGGTGTCTACCCTCAGTAACCTGTGATTCTCTGTATTTGCCTGTTCTAATTTTGGGGGCAGTGGTCTGTCCTGTGTCTTCATTCTTTGATGGATCTAAGAAGAGTTGTTGATTTTCAGTTTTTTTTTTTTGGTGAGGATGAGAGTACAACTGCCAACCTCTTTACATGTTGGATGGGAAACCATAAGATCTCAAAATATTTTTAAAAATTTTATTAAATTTTTTTTTTTTCAGATCTGGGCCTGCAGAGAAGTTAAAAGATTTTTCACTCATCATTCATTCTTTTGTTCTTTCTTATCTATCCTTTACATTTAAGTATATTTTTAAAAATGGGCAACTAGGCCTATTTTATTTTATTAAAAAATTTTCTTCTTTTTCAACAAAACCCACATTCAAAAGGCCTATTTTATATATATATATATATTTTTGACATCTTTAAAATGTAAAATATACCACTTTGGGAGGCCAAAACTATATTTTGAGCCCAAGAGTTCAAGGCCAGCCTGGGCAACGTGGTGAAACCTCACCTCTACAAAAAATTAAAAATAAGGCTGTGTGTTGGCACATACTTGTAGTCCCAGCAAACCTCTAGAAAAAATAAAAAATAAGTCAGTGTGTTGTTGTACAGCTGTAGTCCCAGCTACTAGGGAGACTGTGGTGGGGGGATCTCTTGGAGCCTCACCCAAGAGGGTGAAGCTACAGTGAGTTATAATCATGCTACTGCACTCAAGCCTGGGTGATGGAGTGAGATTTTGTCTCAAATAAATAAATACAAATACAGTAAAATCTTGAAATAAAGGAGGATTAAATCTTCTCAATTACTACTTTTAGTGAATATGCATAATTAAGTCAAATGTATTACTATAATGGTTAGTAAACTGTTCACTAAATTGTAATTAATTATAATAAATGGGCCAGGTGTGGTGGCTCATGCCTTTTATCCCAGCACTTTGGAAGGCCAAGGTGGATGGATCATGAGGTCAGGAGATCGAGACCATCCTGGCCAACATGGTGAAACTTCGTCTCTACTAAAAATATAAAAATTAGTCGGCCGTGGTGGTGGACGCCTGTAATCCCAGCTACTCGGGAGGCTGAACCCGGGAGGCGGAGGCTGCAGTGAGCTGAGATTGCGCCACTACACTCCAGCATGGGTGACAGAGTGAGACTGTCAATAAATAAATAAAGTTTTGTGTAAAGAACAATTAAAAAATGAAATTCCAGGCTATTTACCAAGTTACTTAGAAATACCAAGCAACTAAGTGAAACCAATTGGAACCTCTATCTAGAATGTGAGTTTTTCCTCAATGAAGTTAAGAAATAAAGATAACACATATAAAGATGTTGCAGCTTTTGTGTCCACGATAGAGCTAAGAAACAGAACAAGATTTTTCTTTTCTGACTGTTAAATTTTTTTGTGTATGTCTGTTACTTTTCCCATTATATTGACTTTGCTAATACTACATCTGCATTTCTTCTTATTCACTTTTTCTGGTCCATGTATACCAATCCTTCAAACGAAAACTTCCTTCACCAAGTGTTACCTTCTCTATTCAGTCAATAATGGTCTTTCTCTGAACTCTGTTGCACTTATTGCTTTGTAATGACTATTTATGAGGGTATTTTGAAATGTATATATCTAGCTCCTAATATATAAAGTTGATGATGGTAACCTCATTTAAGTATATTTTCATATTCACAGCACCTGGCAAAGTATCATGCACAGTTATCCAGTAAACAAGGTCAAGGGTATCAGATTTCTAGGAAGTCTTGCAGAATATGGAATCCTAGTTCTTTCATAAGACTCCATTCGGGCGCCTTAGTTTATAGAAGAAAGGGCTAGTGAATAGTAGTGAAAAGTCATTCATCTTTTAAACCCTCTTCTGATATCTTTCATTAGTGGCACATCTTGTTCTTTAGTTTTTTTCCTTATTTCTCTCTGCAAATAAATTATACTCTTTAGGACAATGAATATATTTCACATTTCTCCTCAATGTCCCTGGGATTATAGTTTGTATTTGGTAGATGTTCAATAAATATTTTTCTACTGCATATATTTATTAAATTTCAAGTTCCGGGATACATGTGCAGAACGTACAGGTTTGTTACATAGGTATACATGTGCCATGGTGGTTGCTACACCTATCAATCCATCATCTATGTTTCAAGCCCTGCATACATTAGGTATTTGTTCTAATGTTCTCCCTCCCCTTGTCCCTCCATCGCCTCAATAAATATTTTTTAAATAATAAAAAAATCTTCATAGAGTAACCCACTGTGGAGTTTACTGTATATGTGCACCATCCCCCACACCCCCACAACTAACACACTTTACAAATGATTCCGATGCTCTTGAACTTTTCACTTGTCCATTTTCTATGACTCTCTTAATTTCCATTTATTCTCTTGCTTTCATCTTTTTTTCACTTGCTCACTTGTTTTATAGATTCGTCCTTATAAGTTTCTTTCCATTTTATTTTTACTACCCCTTACCCTTATTTCATTGCATCTCTTCTTTAGTTCTTTATAAATGTGTGGTTGTGTTTGTATATTGGGGGGTACAACAGAAACCACTGAATTTTGACGACATAGGTTATTTAAGTTTTATAGCTCATTACTATTTCATTGGAAGAGTCATCACACAAAACTAGTAGAAAGGAGACTCTTGAGTGTCATTTCCAGGAAAGGACCAGTTTGAGTAAATAACAGAGTACTCTCAATTTTCCCTTCCCGTCTCTTATGGCATTCCTGTCTTTCATGTCATTTATCCATATGCTACAACCACCTAGTACACTACTACTATTATTACTTTAAACAAAATTATTTTTTAGATCAATTAAGAAAAATAGAAAAGGAGATCCAAGATGGCCGATTAGACACAACTCCAGTGCACAACACCCAGCGAGAGAGACACAGAAATCTAGAGATCTCCTAGCTCTACCCGAGGTACCAGGTGCATTTCAATGGGTCTGGTCTGATGGTTAGCAAAGCCCACTCAGGGCAGACTGAGGCGGGGAAGGGTGCTGCTTCACCCAGAAAGTGCATCTGACCGGTGAGTCAGAGGCTCCCCTC